TCAAAGTATAGTAAGGTATGAAAATGTCAAAGCATAGTAAGGCAATAAAATGTCAAAAAAATCATAGTATAGTAAGACATAAAAATGTCAAAAAACGTCATAGTATAGTATTGAATAAAAATGTCATAAATGTCAGCGTATAATAAGGCATAAAAATGATGAAAAACCTTATAGTATAGTATTGAATAAAAATGTCATAAATGTCAGCGTATAATAAGGCATAAAAATGATGAAAAACCTTATAGTATAGTATTGAATAAAAATGTCATAAATGTCAGCGTATAATAAGGCATAAAAATGATGAAAAACCTTATAGTATAGTATTGAATAAAAATGTCATAAATGTCAGTGTATAATAAAGGATAAAAATTATGAAAATCGTCATAGTATAGTACTGCATGAAAATGTCATAGCATAGTAAGGCAATAAAATGTCAAAAAAAATCATAGAATACGAAGTCACAAAAATGTCAAAAAACGTCATAGTATAGTATGGCATGAAATTGACATAGCATAGTCAGGCATAAAAATGTCAAAAAACGTCATAGTATAGTATGCCAAAAACGTCAGCGTACAAAAAGGCATAAAAATGATGAAAAACGTCATAGTATATTATGGCATGAAAATGTCATAGTATAGTAAGGCAATAAAAAGTCAAAAAAATCATATTATACGAAGTCACAAAAATGTCAAAAAACATCATAGTATAGTATGGCATAAAAATGTCAGAAACGTCAGCGTATAAAGGCATAAAAATGATGAAAAACATCATAGTATAGTATGGCATGAAAATGTCATAGTGTAGTAAGGCAATAAAATGTAAAAAAAAATCATAGTATAATATGGCATAAAAATGTCAGAAACGTCAGCGTATAATTACGCATAAAAATGATGAAAAACGTCATAGTATAGTATGCCAAAAACGTCAGCGTACAAAAAGGCATAAAAATGATGAAAAACGTCATAGTATATTATGGCATGAAAATGTCATAGTATAGTAAGGCAATAAAAAGTCAAAAAAATCATAGTATACGAAGTCACAAAAATGTCAAAAGATCATAGTATAGTATGGCATAAAAATGTCAAAAACGTCAGTGTATAATGAGGCAAAAAAATGACAAAAAACGTCATAGTATAGTATGGCATGAAAACGTCATAGTATACTAAGGCATAAAAATGTCAAAAAACATCATACTATAATAAGGGATATAAATGTCAAAAAACATCATAATATAGGAAGGCATGTATTTGTCATAGTATAGTAAGGCATAAAACTATCAAAAAACATAATTGGATAGTATGGCATAAAAATGTCAAAAAACGTCATAGTATAGTAAGGTATGAAAATGTCATAGCATAGTAAGGCAATAACATGTCAAAAAAATCATAGTATACGAAGTCCTAAAAATGTCAAAAAACGTCATAGCATAAAATTGACATAGCATAGTAAGGCATGAAAATGTCAAAAAACATCATAGTATAGTATGGCATGAAAACGTCATAGTATAGTAAGGCATAAAAATGTCAAAAACCGTCATAGTATAGTAAGGCATAAAAATGTCAAAAACCGTCATAGTATAGTAAGGCATAAAAATGTCAAAAACCGTCATAGTATAGTAAGGCATAAAAATGTCAAAAACCGTCATAGTATAGTAAGGCATAAAAATGTCAAAAACCGTCATAGTATAGTAAGGCATAAAAATGTCAAAAAACGTCATAGTATAGTAAGTTATGAAAATGTCATAGCATAGTAAGGCAATAAAATGTAAAAAAAAATCATACTATACAAAGTCATAAAAATGTCAAAAAACCTCATAGCATAGTATGGCATAAAATTGACATAGCATAGTAAGTCATAAAAATGTCAAAAAACGTCATAGTATAGTAATGTATGAAAATGTCAGCATAGTAAGGCAATAAAATGTCAAAAAAAATCATATAATACGAAGTCATAAAAATGTCAAAAAACATCATAGTATAGTATGGCATAAAATTGACATAGCATAGAAAGGCATGAAAATGTCAAAAAAACATCATAGGATAGTATGGCATAGAAATGTCAACAAATGTCATAGTATAATATGGCATAAAAATGTCAAAAATGTCAGCGTATAATAAGGCACAAAAATGATGAAAAACGTCATAGTATACTAAGGCATAAAAATGTCAAAAAACGTCATAGTATTGTAAGGCATAAAAATGTCAAAAAACCTCATAGTATAGTATGGCATGAAAATGTCATAGTATAGTAAGGCAATAAAATGTCAAAAAAAAATCATAACAAACGAAGTCATAAAAATGTAAAAAACCTCATAGTATAGTATGGCATGAAAATGTCATAGTATAGTAAGGCAATAAAATGTCAAAAAAAATCATAACAAACGAAGTCATAAAAATGTCAAAAACCTCATAGTATAGTATGGCATAAAATTGTCAAAAAAACGTAATAGTATATTATGGCAGAAAAGTATCATAGCATAGTAAGGCATAAAAATTTCAAGAAACGTCTCAGTATTTTGAAGGATATAAATGTAAAATAATGTCATAATATAGAAAGGAATGAAAATGTCATAGTTTAGTAAGGCATCAAATTTGCAAAAAAAAGTCACAGTATAATAAAGGATATAAATGTCAACAAACGTCATAATATAGAAAGTAGTATGGCATAAAATTGTCATAGCATAGTAAGGCATAAAAATGTCAAAAAAACGTCATAGTATAGTATAGCATGAAAATGTCAACAACGTCAGCATATAATGAGGCATAGAAATGACAAACAACGTCATAGCATAGTAAGGCATAAAAATGTCAAAAAAACTCATGTGTAAGTCTTTGGATTGCGGGATGTAGCCTGATAAAACCCATGCAGTCATTCAACACAGACAGGCCCGTTTCCGGGATTCAATCCCACTACCTTCTCAGAGTTCTAACCACTGTACCACCATATTAACCCATCACAAAGCCATAGTAAAGTAAACCATAAAAACATCATACTATAATTGGGAACGAAGATGTTTCAGTATAGTAGGGCATAAAAATGTCATAGTATAGTGGTGCACGTTTCGGGGGCATTACACATTTTCTGCTTTGCTTCAACTTGGAGAAGAGAGTAATTTTTAATGGAATTGTTTAGTCCTAGAGTTTACCTATATACTCGCACACCCTTCTTCCACCATGACCATTTAATATTAAATGAAACAACATATAAATATATTGGCACTAATAATGACAGACAGGAATAACACAAGTGTGGATTTCATATTACATCCTTCAAAACCTGACATTAATCATAATCATAATCAAGTGGTTAACTGTTTAAACAACATAATAAACATTTCCTAAAGTGAGTCTATAAATGTGGATTACACAGCAGTTCTTTGACTATGATAGTAATAATAAAGACATTCTGGATGTCATATAATGTGTGTTACCTTGTGTGAAGGATGCTGACAATATGGTCACATGAAAGACATTGCCTTAAAGTGTACATGTTATATCTCAACCATTCTGTAGGATAGAGATCTGGGGATTGACTTATTAAATAGAAGCATAATATGAGTTAACAGAACAGTTAGATATTTAATTTTATATTCTTCCTCAGATCTATGTCTGTGAAGAGTGTTCTGCTGGTCACTACTCAGGATTGGAATGTGGGTTGTTTATGACTCAGTTATCTAAGAGGGACACAGGAAGGGAGGTTAGTGTGTGTGTGTGTGTGTGTGTGTGTGTGTGTGTGTGTGTGTGTGTGTGTGTGTACATGCACGGCAAGGAGAAGCCAGGATTCACACCTTATTGATAATCATTCCTCTTGGTGTTACTTTTCTTATATAAGAAACAAACAAATATCAATAGACAGAGTCTCATTGTTACAAACTGGAGATTTTGCCTATGCTCTCCAGTTTGTCTGGTGTCCATTCATTGATCCTCTGACCCTTTGACCAATGGTCTGTTTGTGCATCCCTTTGCCATGCTAAAAGCATGGTCTGTTTGTAAGAGAAGGGTCCTTTGTCTCTGTTTCCTATCAATTTGATAGTTTGATAGTGGGAAGAGTAACAAAGTGTCAATTTTGGATCCATAACTCTGCATGTCCTTACAATGAAATTATTTAATGGCTTGTGACTGATGCCAGTCCAGGTATGTCTGCTACATAAGGCATAAAAAAGTCATTGTATAGTAAGGCATAAAAAGTCATAATATAGTAAGGCATACAAACGTCATAGTATAGTAAATGCATAAAAAAGTCAGTTAGACTTGCCAATTAACCTAATGTGCATGACTTTGGACTGCAGGAGAAAGCCAGATTACCTGAAGAGAACCCCTGGAGGGACAGGGCAAACATGCAAATTCCACACAGAAAAGCCCCAGGCCCAGGGTTCTAACCCTGAGCCTTCTTACTGGGAGGCGACGGTTCTCACCACAGCACCACTGTGGGGCCCCATAAATAAATCACTGTATATTAAGGATTAAAAACATCATAGTATAGAAAGGCATGAAAACATCATAGTATCCATGGTCACGTTTTAATGAGATTTTACGACAGAAATTAAACTGATATATCCACCATTTTATGTTCACCCTTGCTAGAAACCTGAATGCTAGCCCACAGAAGACAGAAGCCAGGGTTAGTTTTCTAGTTAATGCTAGGTAATATCGTTAAATAACATCAGTTGAAATTTTTCTGGTGACGTTAGGTACCACTGTGATATTCTCACAAGATGTGAGCCTTTAGATAGCCCCCACCCTTTCAGTTGATCAAATTGATTGATTGGGACAAAGATTTGTCTCATGTCAGTGGCTATAACGTTTAATTGCATTATTACTAGTTCTACAAATGTTAGTTCATTTTCTGTAATGCACTTTGTAAATCCCTGAGTTTCAGGTAGTTGTATAACACACAAACACACAAGCACACAAACAATGTGTCAATAATGTCATATATGATTAAAAACACTTGCACTTCATTGTCATTTCTGTCCTTTTGCTTTATTTGTAAAACTTTGGCATTCTAGCCAATAATTTCAATGATTGGCCAGGTATAGACAGTATGTACACTCTGAGCAATGGATGCACAACACAGTATAATATGTACAGTCTCAGTATATCTGCAAACACAATATATACAGCATTACTGCTTGCCATTACTTGTATATATATATATATATATATATATATATATGTGTGTGTGTGTGTGTGTGTGTGTATACATATATATACACATATATATGTATGTACATACACACACAATCTAACCTCTTTACTGGTGGCTTTGCACGACAGTATGTACAATCTAAATTAGTAAACAATACAGTTTTTACAGCTTCACCTCAAACTTATGGTTGTACAACACAATGGCAACAGGCTTATCTGTATACTGATAGTTGCATCAGTCCCAGCTCCATCTCTTACAGTTGTGCAGTGCAATACAATGCATAACAGTTTGTGTATCAGCAAAAAGAATACAGTATGTACAGAATTACTGTATTGTTGCTACAGTGCTTATTGGTTACACATCACAATATATTTTGTTTTACCTCTGACCAGTAAATATGTGTATTAATTGTGGAGCATCATAATGTACATTCCTACTGGTAAACTGTACAACACAAAGTGTGCTACTCATATCTGCAAAACCCGCTGTTCAGTCTTACCTCGTATTTGTGATTGTACAACTTCTTAGATACAATCAGGGCAGCAGCAATAGACAGTATATACAAACTTATGACACAGTGGTTCTCGAATGTTTTGGCTTTCAGACACTAACAACAAACAGGAGCCTACCGGCAGCTGCCAGACACTCCTGAGCACACACACACACACACACACACACACAGATGGATGAATGATCTCACTGAATGCTGATTCAATAATACAAAGTAGTACAGGCTGAAGTGTTTTGCTGTGAGTGTGACATTTACGAGCAAGCCCTCCAGTAACGCTTTGAATATGTTATGAAAAAAACATGACAAACTACGTTCTACAGAAATACCTGCAAACCTAAACGTTTCATCTAATATGGGAAGTGCAGTAGTGACACATGGAAGACAACAATACATACAGTAAAATGATTAAGCATATTATGAACAATAAGACTTAAATGGCATTGTTAACTTAAGAAATCATTTCCTTAGTTTGGTAGGATATTTACATATTTAACATGCATCAGAAGATTGATTGGACAAAGAACATTATAATCTAAGTGTCACTGCCTCATTCAAATATATTTTAGAGTCATGACTGTGGAAGACGGTATTAATGTGTGCCTTTCCATGAACTGTTGACATACATGTGTGTGCTAAATATGAAAACTAAAGTAAACTGAGTACTTGGCATGTCGTTTGTGGCACAGAATACTGCTTTTTTTCAGTGACCAGACTAATTTCTTCCACTTTCAGCTGCAGGATCTTTTGTAGATATAGATCAAGGCAGGTAACAGTGTAACTGGGTATATTGCACTACAGCTCCAACATGTATGACCAAAAAGAAGTAAATGTCCATGTGTTTGCTTTGAATATCAGCTACAAATCAGTCTGATTCCTGGCAATTTAACAGCCATGATCAGACTATGAAGATGTTGCCTGGAAGGCAGGGTCAAAATTACAGCTTGAAAGTCCAACTGCGGGTTACCCAAAGTTTTGATCAGTTTTCGGAGTCGAGCTCTCTGTGCAGGTGCACGTGACTGGATGTTTGATCAAACAGTATCATAAATTGAAAAATGTCATTTTAAAGATTTCAAATTTACATTTTAAATTAGGTGAACTAAAGTGAACTGAACTGATCAGGGTTAGTGAACTGCTTCATTATTTTCGGGCTTAGTACCTTAGGGGTGAGATTTATTTAGACACACCCTGCCTCTGTCCTTTTTGGGAGTAATTTTACTCTTGAATATCAGTAGATCTCCTGGTTTATTTGATCTAATACATTCAGTTTATAGGCCTACAAGCACTTTGTAACAAGGTTTGTGCTTTTCAAAATGAGAGTACATTTTTAATAATACAGGCCTATGGTTAATTTCTTTTGAGTTTCAGTGACATTGTTGAGGCTACTCCTTCTCTTTAGGGTCTGAATTAACTTTTGGACTCCCCAGTTTCTTCATCCCTCTCCGCTGAGCCAGGCTGGAGGACTGAACAGGCTCCAGGACAGGAGTTGGAGCACAGCGTCTCAGAGCAGAGTAGGTGGCAGACAGTGCCCCCTGATGGATAAGAAAAAAAAAGACAGGCAACATAATGTCATTGATACTGCTCTAAACTGTTCACCAACTCAATAAGTGGCAGACATCTCCACCTGATGGACACTCAGAGAAACACATTACAGTACACAATACACTCACAATACATTTAACTGATGCTAACGTAAACTCTGCCTTGAACTAGTTATATTTGTGGGTTGCAGACTTCTCAAAAATCATTGCATATTACAAACTCTTAACAATCAATGCATTTAAAACAATATGGGTTTTAGATACAAACATTAGATAACAGGTATAGGTGTTAAATTTACAAACAATCACAAAGCTCAGTCTCTGCTTTCAAGGTTTAAATATATCAAGATATTGAATTATATTGTAAAAATATAGAAGTTTTTTAACTATATTTACAAAGAACTTTCAGAAAGCCATAGTCTCTCTGCTCAACGATGATTTGTCAAAGCTTGTGAGGTTAAGTGACTATCTGCAGTTTTAAAGGTATAATTGCTGGTTTGTGTTTCTTAATAAATAATATTTTAAGTCCCAAAAATTCAGAATTATACAGCTTGTCTCTATAGTTATCTGCATCCATAATTACACACTCACACACATACACACACACACACACACACACACGTGCGCACACACACACACGCACACACACACACACAGACAAACACAAACACACACGCACACACACACACACAGACAAACACACACACACACGCACACACACACACACACACACACACACACACACACACACACACACACACACAGACAAACACACACACACACACACAAACACACACACACACACGCACACACACACACACACACACACAGACAAACACACACACACACACACACACACACACACACACACACACACACACACACACACACACACATACACACACACAGAGGGTCTGACCTTGACAGTGAGTGCATCTTGTCTAGTGAGAGCTCTGTCAGAGAGCTGGTCTCTCTCTACAATCCAGGGATGACGAAGAACCTGAAAAGCATCACAGTGATGATGATTTCCTAATATATTGTTTTGACAAGTAATCCTAACCTTAACAGTGATATATAGTACAAGCAATACAACATGGATAACATATAGTATATACTGTAAAGCCTTAGAGAACATGTTTACATATGGGATCAAGCAAATGGTATAATGTATAGTAGGTGTCAAATTATTTCCTCTACTCTTTATTGTCTCTGCACAAAGGAATAATAATATGTTGTGTAAAAAAAAAAAAAGTACCAAGGGGGGACATAAATGTTAATAAGGCTTACTAAGTCATATTACAGACTAATAGTACCTGGGGAGCAGTCAGGCGCTGGTGAGGGTCCACGTGGAGCATCTTAACCACAATGTCCTGTCAAACACATTCAGACACACACAGGTGATATTAGTACATTTAGACAGTAACAGTACTATGAAATCAGCAACAGAACCATTTTATATGCATCTCCAGAATAAAACATTAAAATGTAACCTTGGCAGCATCTGACACCAGGTCCCAGTTCCCTCCTGTGATAATGAATTTTCCGCTGCCGATTTGAGCCAAAATTTCCTCTGCTGTGTCTTCAGGACTGCTGGCAAAGGGGCTGAAACTGGCCAACAGGAAAAAAATAAATTAGAGAGTGCAATTCGAAGGCGTGTGTGAATTACTACAATAGAGAATGAGCCAGGCCCTGGATAGAAATCTACAACTCTGAAATCTATAACTGATGCGAAAAACGCTTCATGAATTAAAACCTCTGACTTATAAAATCCCACTGGAAAGAAGAAAAAAAAAAACAGCCTCTTCAGGGAGTTCATTTAGGACACACCCTGTTTAGAGCAGCAGGGGGAGCGTTTGCAGAATATAGCGACATTACATACTGTTTACAAATTTACGCTAAAACACTCAACTGTACTGCAACAGTCTGTCGATGTTGGTAGCTTTCAATGCTTTTAAAGTTTTAACTGACCCAGCTATCATGGTATAAAGCAGGATCCCCAGGCTCCAGATGTCACAGGCTGCATCATAACCCTGCTTCCTCAGAACCTGCACACAAACAAACACACACACAAACACACATGCAGCCAGTAGTCATTTCAAAAGTGCATGGTGAGATTAGTTTCTGTGATTAATCATTTTAAAATGTATGCTTGATGGCTGTTTCAAAATTTGTGTAAGTGATGTTGAGATATTAGAGACTCAGTGACATGACATACCTCAGGAGCCATGAATGTAGCTGTGTAACAGGGCGTCATCAACAAGCCATTTTCAGCTCTGAGCTGTTTGGCAAATCCAAAATCACAAATCCTGATGCATTCTGGGCGTCCGCTGTCATCAGAATAGCGAATGTTACTGGGCTTCAGGTCTCGATGTACAACCTGAAAAGCGGAAAGACACAAACAGACAAAAATGTACACATGATTAGCAAGGTAATGTATGATTACTTTCACAGAATAGCATAACCTTTACTGCAAGCAATGGGCTTGTTTGCAACTATCCCAGAGTTTCAACTCTTTCTCTTTTTGCAAAAGGGACACACATCTGATTACACGGGTTGCTCAAACTACTACTGAATCTTCAAAACAACACAGACACAGTGTTTTGCAATAAGTAAACATTCAAGTATAACAATGTCAATAAGTTCTTTTTGCTTTCTTTCTTACCCCGAGTGAGTGTAAATATTCCACAGTCTTGGCCAGTGTGCAGATGATGTCTGATGCATCTCTCTCCGTAAAGTTTGGCACCGTCAGAGCTCTGTCCAGCAGCTCGTTTCCTCTCAGTAAATCCTGAACCAAGAACACACACTGGCCGTCGTCGAACACCTACAGGTACAAATGCACACATAGGAATGAGACAGGCACAAAAATGGTGTATTTAAAACTGTTACCATGCTGAAGGGAAATTCAGATTCTAGCAGACGTTCAGTTTTGCTTTGGTCTGCTGCCACGGCGTAGTAAACCAACATCTATAGTTTCTCATTGTGTTTTCATTTTAACATGACAACATAAAGTTGTGTTATGTGAGGGGTGTGTTACACTTACATCCTTCAGGGTAATAATATTTGGATGCTGTCCATATCTCAACAGAATCTCAATCTCTTCTGATGGATCTTTCCTCGCTCTCTCAATAATCTGACAAAAACACAGAAACATAAGACGCAGAATAACAAATTCTAAATCTCTAAATAAACATGGTCAGTGTACACAAAATATGTTATTTTGGTGGTTTATTTATTTATTTAATAATCAAAGGTCTTCCCATAATGCAACACTCATCCAGCATATGCGGAGTTAATAGTCATTGTGTGATTACACATTTTGTTAGTGGGAGGTGTGTTTTATGTTAAACTTTAATGCCTTGTACATGTGATCTTTGTTGCCCATTGTGAAAACCATGTATCTCCAAATAGTCAACTTTTCATGAGCATGAGATGAACTAAAGGTGTGTGGTTTTCACCGGACAGTGATGTATGCTAACAACATTATAGAATATTACTGTTGAGTTATTGTCCACTATAAGATGCTCTCCCTTGCACCAAAGCAGTGCATTCATTTTTCTACTACAACACTGACCCGAACCATAAAGCTTAGAGAACATCTGTAAACTTTGTACAGGGTTTAGTGTTCACTACCTTCACTGAATACTCCACAGCAGTAACTCTGTGCAGACATCTTCTGCAGACAGAAGTCGCAGTCTGTCCGACTTCTTCCTTCAGCTCATAAACATCAGTGAAGGCCACATCACCACGGAGATGCTACAGGGCACACAAATAATCAGATACACACACACTCATAACATTTTAACCTTAACTGTATATTTCATGTATATGTCAGAATCATATATTAGAGTAAGTGCTTTGTTCAGTCGGTCGCTGTAGAAACACAGTAGGTGACAGTGATTCACGAGGGTGACGTTTAGAAAGGTCAGCATCATTAAATCTCTTAAATCTCTTCATTATTGATATTATATTTATGTTGTCATAAAACAGTGATTTATTTTCATACTCTAATTAATTTGTTGTCTAATAAGCGTGTGTGTGAGTGTGTGTCATCATTTAGCCGTAGAGTCAGGACATGACCTGTTTTCTTAAAGATGTTTTACCTGTGCTATGGGGTTGATGTTGTTCACCTCCTGACGAGAAGGTGCTACCGTAGCAACACTGGGCTCCTGGTTTTGATTACTTGCAACAAAGCTGAAACCACGAAACAACTGGTGTGTGTTTGCACTGGGAGGGATGCCTGGAGAATCTGGATATGCAAAGTCACAAAGATACAAACATTAACACAACTCTTTTCTGTGATTTCTAATGTATGCATGTACGATTCTTTGTTAATATGTACAATATGCCGGTATGTGCGTGTGTGTATGTTTTACTTACCAGTTGGTGTTCTGGATGTGAACTCAGGGTCGAAATGAAAAGTGTCTTCAGGTCTTCCAACAGTTGGTTTAAAAGGAGGCCTCACTTCTTTCCTGTACAACTTCTGCAGAGAACAACAACAGTTGGTGCAAATTTACAAGACAACATAATGAAATAGTTGTGGTTCTAGTAGTATTTGATGAAGAGAGTATTTGATTTTGTATACTACTACTAATTGTAGTAGTTTTTGATGAAAAGAGTATATGAAAAGATAAATAAATATATATATATAATAGATAAATAATAGATAAATAAATATATATATATATATATATATATATATATATATGGCTCTCTTACAATTAAGTTTTTGTTTTTCATGTCACTGTAAATATGGTACACAGTCTGAGCTTAACATTTAAGGAGGAGGTTGAAGAATAGAGCAAATTAGAATAGAGGAAATTAAAATAAAGACCGTGAATATCCAAACAGGACTGGAAACTAATGTTTGGCCTGTTTGCATAATTAAAATCTGTCCTTTTATAGACATATATAATGTAATGTAATGTGATGCCAGGTGAAAACTGTCTTATACCCATCATATAACAGTATGCACATCATTAATTTATTAATGTAAGTGCATTACTAAGTCTGGCCTGCAGGTGTCACCTTTGCAATGTTAGTTGTTAACACACTGAATAACTGTAACAGTAGCCGCCAGCATTGGAAAAAAAAAGATAGTTGAAGCTTTATTCATGGTGAGACTGTTAACACTAACGCTCACTCTCATTTGCTATTTGATTTGTAGTTCGCATTCGCTGTGATGCACAGCTGCTGAGAGGGTGGGGCTGCTTGTCAGCTGTATGAGAGAAATTCCTCAAAGATCAAACCATTAATGAAAGATTAGAGTATCACAGAGGTAAAAGTCAAACAAGATACTGATGAACATGATGATGATGATGATGCACAGAGGAATCATTCTGCCTGATGCAGCACAGTGGTTTAATTAGCATAGTGAGGAGGAGAACGTAAGCCTCTTACTGATAGCTTGTCACATCAAGCCAGAAACACCATCTGTAAATAGGAAAATGTTGTGTTTGGCTGAAAGCGAGTAGGTAGTAATGCAGTGAGGAGTAGAGTGAGAGCCGGTGGTGAGGGCAGAGATTAGTGAGCATGTAAAGCAGATAATAGTGGATTTTGTTAGAAATGAGAGCGACACTACTCACAGCAGCGGATAAACAAGAACCACAAACCTTCTGAACATCTCTGATTAAAATTTAAAAAAAAGAATGGAACTCATGTTTGTGTGACCATGCAAGCTTAAAAATATTTTGTTGCTCAGTATAGATATACAGTATGTAGGGGGCATGGTTACAATCAATAAAACACTATCTGGAGTTTCTGGCTATCCAAACTGGTTTTACAGAGAACAAAACATTCTCTGTAAGTTGGGCAAAGTCTTGATTATGTGTAGATCTACGTTTGTTAAAGCTACAAATGACGGGCTGGGGCTTCCTCACTCCTTTCACTCCTCAGAACAATTTAATTACCATCTTCTCCTACTGCATCTTCTTTTGTCTTTGTTGACAAAACGTTGTTTTCTAAGTCCAGTCCACAAATTGTGTGGTGCAGGAGAGGTTTATTCTTTACACACTCACAGCTCTTGTCTGTACAGTACATACAGTATGTATGATGTACTTCTTGAAAACAATGTCTGTTATTGAGATAATGATTGTTAATAAAACCCTAAAAGTATCCTGTACAGGATATACAGTAGTTACATAAGTGCTTTGCTTTTCACCAATGTAAAATTGCTGAGTTGCTTTTAACTGCTCTTGTTAGGGCTATGCAGAAGAAGGCTTCTGCAGCATGAATGTTACTCACCCGAGGGGCTGCAAGAACAGCTTTCAAGTTTGCCAGAAACAAATGGAGTTTCAGAGCATGATTCACTGATGTTTAACAGGAAGCTTTGGGCAAGAGCGCTTGTAGTTGAAAGAATGGTCCCTTTTTTTAAACTGAGCACGTCCAAGGAGTGAATGTCAAGGTTAGATTATGATAGCACAGGTAATGTTTGAAGCCAGAACATTTGCGCATGAGTGAACTTTCCGTGAGAAAGGCTAAGAGGATTAGTTACAATGAAGTTGGGTGAGACCTGCAGGAAGGGAAGTTTTGCCACTAAGCAAAATCTCATACAAAGGATGTTTAATGTTTCATGATTGAGGGCACATCTTGAGGAAGTGGATGAACAGCTGCAGGGTTTTCATGACATGACACAACAACTAGTCACCACAATGTGATTCAAATGTGTGAGGAAGCAGGGTGCAGTTGTTGGTAAGAGGACAGGTTATTTACTTCCACAACTGCTTGCATGTGATACACGTCCAGACCTGTTCTCACTGTCTCTAATAGTGTTAACAAGCCAACTCTGTTTCATTTCTGGGAAATCTAGAATCACTTTTTCCACTACACTACATACAGCATGTGTATAATGCTAATGAGTATACAAGTTCACATTACCATTGTAAATGAATGATAAAAAACAATAGAGCTTAAAACTATGTAGCATGCAGAATATTCTTCATAAATTGTACTTACATTCCAGTCTATCGATGCAAAGAAGCGATGCCTTTTTATTTCTTCCACTCCTTCTTGTCCTGCACCTATTAGTCGCACAGATAGAGACAGATCGAGAGATGGTGTCATTGTTCACATCTATTCTGCAAAAACATTACCTAAAAATTAAATCAAACAAACAGGGAGCGTGAATACAGTGAGTGAGTTTTTATTTCCAATGGACCACCATGGCTGCTTGGACATGCATAACACAAATGGTATCGCCTAACATTATTCGCATACTACAGGAAGACTGTGACAGCTGTGAAGGTCATGCCGTGGCTTCAGTATTGCTATTGTTTCAGTGACATAACATAGCCGCTATCAATAGACCTGATAAATAGAATGTTATTTCACCACATCAGAACGAGGTTTTATAGCATTATCTCCCAAGGACCTCACGTGTGATGTGTCCTATACTAACTGACTGACTAACTAAGTGTTTTTCAAAAGGACTGATTTGATTTTAGGTTGCAGCTTTATTGTCCCTTATATGTTCCGTCCCCTTCATTTTAGGAACAGACTAGAATGACTGGTAATCCAAAAGAGGCACACAAATGTAGATGCACTACCCTTATTCTGAAAAGATATTAGTTAGTCAGTTTCCAAGGTTTCTCTTTACAGTACCTAGTCGATTAGCAGGGTTCCTCTTGAAGAGCGCTCTTAATAAACTCTGCACCTCAGGACTGAGGAACTGTGGCATTCCCAGCTTAGCCCTGGGGAGACAACACAAGAAACAGGTGTATACACTCACAGATGTTTGATAATGCTGTGATATATCAACATCACTTTTAGTATTGGGTCAGTTTAATCGTTTTCATAGTCACAGCTTTATCAATGTGGCTATTCAAATACAGTGGAATATTCTGAGATTAATAATTGAAGGGCAGTTTGTCTTGAATGAAGCATAACTGAGAAGTAAATTATCATAACACAATAAATGATAACAGTTTGAATTAGTCTTACTTTAGAATAAGTGCCATTGTTTCCTTACGATCTTTTCCTTGGAATGGTAACGATCCCGTCAACATCTCAAACTGGAAAACAGATGATAACAATCAAGATATTAGATCAAGTGTCAGCTGACCAGTAGAAAGAGCCATACAGGTGGATTGTTCCAAATTTGCTCAATGCAAAGTTCATTAGTTATTTGAACAAGACTTTGTTTGAACTGCTCATGCTGACAGAGAAACTGGAATGTGTTAAAGCTGTGTCTCAACAGTTTGTTAAAATGACACATAAACAGACATTTATTAATCTGTGACCATAATTTTGTGATAGGAAACAACATCATTAGTTATAGATTGGATACTTACGAGAAAATTGAAATAAAATCAAGATACACAAAAAGGGGATAACCTGTCCTGTGGAGGATTAATGGAGCACATAAAACAGCCTGATGACTTTTATGACTAGCAACAAATCTGTCACCACTGCTGACATACCAATACTTTCCATCTTTTAATAGCTTTGCCTGTCTCAAAGAGTATAGTGCAATGTTATGAATTAAATGTAATGATACTCTGGGATTTTTCCTTAAATCCTGTTTGTAATTTGTATAATGTGCTCCTTCCACTATCTTCAGATACAGTATTTTGACATGTTTGGCTGTGTTTTTTCTTTTTTTTTGTTTTAATATTTTTTATATTCTTAATTCTTGCCAAGGGCAGATAGGGGTGACACCTTTCCCTGGTGCCCTGATGTAGCTGCCAGCTGTTGGAGAATGTTAACCTCCTTCTCAGTATTAGTGAAATAAGCCATTGGGCTAACAAAACAAGCAAAGTCAAGCAGATGCACGATTACTGAAAGTGATGGGGCCTAATCTGCTAGATATGGTAATTAAGCTTCTTTACTGCCAGCAGAAAACCAGATTAAGAAACCAGAACACTGACACATGATCTAAGAGCTGAGTCCTTGGCTCATAAGATACTGTATAGTGAATTCATGCCTGCTGTTTTTGACAGCATGATCAGACCGAACATCCACGTCAGAAAGCAAAATGGCTATATACTCAGAGGGAAGGTTACAAGTGTGTGAAAAAAGTGAAAATAGTAAAAGATTGTTTCAAGATTAAACCATTCTTACCATAAGCACCCCAAACGACCACCAGTCAGCACTTTGTGTATGCCCTCTCCTGTTTACTACCTCTGGAGCCATGTACTCTATTGTTCCACAGAAGGAATATGCTCTTTTATCATGGTCGATGGCTTCCTTACTCAACCCAAAGTCTAAACAGAGAGAAACGGAGATAAAGGTCAGAAAAAACCCATAAAGAACAGATTAAATAGAGATTGTTTGCAGTTGGATACACTGACCAGTTATCTTAATATGTCCTTCTTCATCCAGAAGAATGCTGTCGGGAAAATTTTCAAATATTCAAATCTGCTTTCAAAATATATTTTTTTAAATAAATGGATACACGAAAAGGCAGTCTTATGAGAGTGTACTTTTCAGGTTTGAGGTCCCTGTAGATGATGCCCAGACTGTGTAGATGGTCCAAAGCCAGGGCCAACTCTGCAAGGTAAAACTTCACATCCTCTTCTGTAAACATTACCTAGAACACATAAAGATGTGGATTAGATGTAATTCATAGTAAAACAATAATACAACTATGAAACAAGGACTACAAGCAACAACTGGATATAAACAATGGTGAAACAGGTTATCAATATCAGGAGAAAGACCCAAAAATGTTAGAAAATGTTTAAAAAGCAGCAGGATGGCAGCCAACTGTCAGTAATCAGAGTGTCAACATTTCCATGTCAAAAGTATTACATTTGACAAACTGCTTTGAACTTAATCCTCTTTAGAAATAACTGCATATAGCTCTTCCTTGCATTTTATAAAAACCATAACACCCTTATGGATGTTCTAACTCTAAGTGTATTGGTGATGCACTTTTTCATCCTTCCTATAACAGTAGAGAAAACTAATTCTGTCTTTCCATCATTAATTGGTTGGTTAGTTCCTTTGTTTCTTCTACTTAATTGTCCTTCATCACTTTAGAATAAGAGTTTGTGATTTCCAGGAGGTTGGGAAAGCAGCAGTAGAACAGAAAATAATAACTAGTTTAGACTTGCGGGTCTCAGTGGAAAAACAAAACAAAACTGCACTTATCTTTTAAAAAACTTTATTGAGAAAAACACAGTTCAACACAGTTGTGTGGTCTTTGTTTACTGACAGGATAATGCATCAGCATAAAAGTAATAGAGTTGAGGGTCACATCAACACAGTATTGAGGAGAGGAGAGTGATGGCAGGTATATTCATTCCTGGTGATTCTGCATCTGTGTTATATGGCCTATAATAGACCTTGAAAGATAAAGGTGTGTAATTTTGAAGTGGAGAAGGGGAAAGAGCCAGGGAACCTATCAGTAGTAAACCCACCTCTTTTGACAGACGAGTGAAAAGGTCTCCTCCTCGGAGGAAGTCTAGGATCAGATAGAGCTTCCCTTCTGTCTGAAAGGCTACACACACACACACACACACACACACACATAGGAGTTACACAGAACATACTATTGAGGCTTTATTGCTGTATCCGGGCTGTATTGTAGCCTGTCTTTTTTTGAGGATGTGTTCAGTAGTAGACAGTGTATACTGTGCATAATCAAACCTTAGTAGGACACAGGTGTTGGACAAAATTCATAACAGAATTTACACATTCAGTTTGTTGACTATGCTCTTTTTTCCTCATATTGATTTATCCAATACAAGTATCCAATCAAAACATTTTTTGTACTTTTCCTAACCTGTCTAATATGTAATAATAGCTCAGAGCCTTCAGCAGATGACAGTTAAGTTTGCACAAATACCTGATGTGAATGTGAAGCCAGAGGGTTTGCTAGAGAAGGGTAATGTTAGCTCACTTCACACCCAGCTCCCAAAAATGGTGTGTTTGTTTGTTACGAAATTAAATAACAACATTCAGCCTCTATATTTTCAATTCCAGCTCCTGTATAGACAAGTTGGGCATTGCAAAGTTATCTAATCCTCTTTTTCTGCTTTGCTATTTCAGAGAGACAGATATTCAAATGAGTGCCTAGCAATTCAAAGCATCAGACAGTCAGACTTACCATAGTGCAGTTTAACTATAAATGGATGGTTCACTTCTGCCAGAATGTCTCTTTCCATCTTAGACCGCACACGATCCCGAACTATACAGGAGAGAGTGGGGAAAGCACAATATATTTAATAGTGTAGCTTTATAGTTCCCTCTATCTGAATGCAGATAAATGGTGACAAGCCTCTAATATTATGATTATATTTGATGTAGGATGAAACTGCATTTACTTCACTGTAAAATGTAAATGGAATTAAGACCCGTCCCACAGTGTTGCTGGTCACGTGCAGTGAAAACTACAATAACAGTGTTATTGCAGCATCTGTCTCCTTGACAGGATGAGACCATAACTACTTAAATTCAAGGGGTTCAGGTTAAGAGGATTAAGGCTTGTACAAAGACACTAAATCGGCACATGACATCTCAACCTGCTTTTACAGTGCATCCTCATTTACAATAATCCCATTCAACCCAAACCAGTTTATCTGAATCGAAAGTACAAACTAACCTCTTTTACCTAAAATCCTCCTGAATGTAGGCCACTCTGAGATCTCTGGTAATGATATCTCTTATTATTCCTGTGCAAAACCAGCAGTAACTTTAACAAATTACCACTCAGAGCCCAATAAAGAACAAGGCTGTTATTGCAGCGTAATGCATCTCAGTCAAGATTCTGTAATTTATTACATTTTTTGGATGCTACACACCCATAAATAAACTTACTATTACTTGGTATGATAAGCTCAAATGTCACAAGAAAAACAAAGTGCTTTAAATTTTTTCCAATATTCACTATATTTAAACTTAGTCTCCTAACATATCAAAGTATTAGTCCTTTAACTTACCGCATCTGTCATTTCAGTTTTTCATTTTTACCTTTCAGCGTGGCTTTCTTCAGGACCTTCATAGCATACAGCTGCCCTCTGTCCGCTCCTCTGATCTTTCTCACCAGAAACACCTGAAAAATCATCACCATCATCCATTAACGTCATCATAACATTTTCTAGGACACATGAACAATTTAAAACACTAGTGGAACATGTCAAATGAGCCTTTGTAGCAACATTAGTTAAAAATTAAAACGTAAGTAGGGAGGATATTAACAACCATGTGATTCAGGTGGTGCTAATGGTGGCAACCATTTCAGTAAAGAGCCACACACACACCTGTTTTTGAGACCATGCCCACCTGCTGTCTCTGCTTTTTGCCTCTTGCCACACCCACAATCATCTGCAAATCATAGGCACATCCAAGCTGGAGTAAGCACCAGTTACCAGTTATTTATCATGTATCATAAAAGATTCACTTAAATTCTGTTTCACTGTGACAGAGCTGAGAACAGCTATGATTTACAGCTATGATTGGCAAATAATAATTAAGTGCGTGTATAGCAAGCTAAGCAAACATGCTACACAGGACACACTGTGACTTTACAAGCAGACCTCACGTGCGAGCCTCTGCCCTTGGAAAATGAACCCACCCGCCAACATCTGCCGTGTTGTCATATTTGCCTGATGCAGACCTCTAATCTACCATAACTCTAATAATTTAGTGGGGCTTTGCTAATTCAAATAAACTTAGTGATGTGTCGCATGTAGCACTTGTCATACTGCTAATCTAGAAATAATTGAAAATGGATGCCTTATCATTAGAAAGTGATGAATGCTAAAGCGCCGTCAGTTCCAGCACACACACACACACACACACACACACACACACACACACACACACACACACACACACACACTATATGCTAAAAGGAAGTGTACACCAAATTCTTCTGTGTACTCTTGGTTTTGGGCTGTTTTTCATGGGTTGGGCTTCTTGGTTACAATTAGGGGGAATCCTTAATGCTACGGCATCATATTTTAGACAACAGTGAAATACCCCCATGCACAAAGACACACCTATACTGACTGTCCCAAAGGGAGCTCTGACCTTAACCCCATCCTGCACCTTTAATGCCCAACGTTGTCACTGATGTTCTTGTGTCTTAATGGGAGCAAATCCAAACTATGCTGGAAAGACATTCCAGAAGGGTTCAGGCTGTTACAGCAGTGTAACTCAAGGTTTTTAGATGAGATGTTCAACATTCACACAAGTGTGAACATACTTTCGACTATAGAGTGGACAGTATGTGTTAAGTCCAGATGTCAACAATGATCTCATGACCTTATGTCAGATCCCTGAGGTGTTAAGGTGTCAGTGGGTTGAAGTGTGTATATTCTGTACCTTTCCATAGGAGCCCTGTCCCAGCACTTTGAGCAGCTGGAACTGAGAAGGATCTGCCTTCTCACAGCCCTCCTTCACATGGTGGCTGATGTCAATCTCTTTCAGTATGCTGTCATCCTAAAGGAAAGATGGTAGAAGTCACGATTTTTATGTTATACAACAATTCACCAAGAGAGAGGGGCCACAAAAACAGGAAAGAGCATAGAGAAAAACTGAAGAGATAAGAAAACAGCGAGGCATGAACAAGGTGGTGAGTGAAAGACATTAAAGAATTAGCACACCTAAACACTTTGTCGAACAGTTATGCAGATTGAACAAACACAAGAATAAAGTAATCCACTCTCTTATACACACACACACACACACACACACACACACACAAGGAGAGGTGGTTATTTATGAGCCATTATATTATTGCTAGATATGGGCTAAGGTCACTGGCAGTGTGCAAGCTTCCTTTTTCAGCCTATTCAGTCTACTCAGTGAGGCGAATGATCAGCTGCCAACCTGAGGCACAGCTTAGATTGGTCAGTGTGACAATATACTGTAATTCTGTAAAACTGTCAGTGTCATTTAGATGTTAAGAGCTTTACACCCACTTTCAATCAAGTATGCACTGCTGACAGGAGTTAGTAAACACATGAGTTTAATGCAATCTCTCACATAAGCTTTATTATTAGTAGATGTTTTTGGGTGGTGCCTTCCCTGAGGTTTTTCTCAAGGAGGAGGCACATGGTTGAAACATTCACACATGCAGCTTGACATGGTTGAAAAATGGTACAAACGGCAGGGAAGTGGGGTTAATATGTTTGTTAAATCTGGTAATATCTGGTTTGACCTGTTTGTTGGACTGCATAGACAATGGAAATAAAAGGAACAGGGCCATGTCCATGTTGTGTATTGTTAATACTTCTGTATTTTAGACTTGTAAATGTGGTTTCAAGTTTTTCATAATCCAAAGACACTTTCTGACTTTCTATAGCAGGTATACATGTATATAGATATAGATTAATCCCATCAACAGTATACGATATTTTGATAATGGAACGAGATCCATCCCTCCTTTGCAAGTAATTTCTAAGAGTCCACATGAAGCTAAAAATAATCAAACTGTCACAAGTTCTTTGATGCTATCTCTGCAACGAGAGTCTTGAGACGGTGTTAATAGCACAGCACATTTGTTTTCCTGTTACAGTTTACCCTAACCAAAGTCATGGGGCTCAAATTCAGCCTGCAAGATTTATTTATATTACAAGAACAAAATCTGCCAGTGGGAGAGATATTTCCATTTGTTCCAAAGAAGCCTCCTTTGTTTCATGAATTTTGTAGAAATTAGATTCAGAATCTCCAGGTTGATGCACTTGTATCAAGAATATGACACTTGATGGTAAGTAGAGCCACACATTCATCCTCAGTAAAACAAGGGAGGAAACAAACCTGAAAGCATTTCAAGCACTGACATGACAGCACAGCAACAGCTCAGATCAACACCTCACATCACAGAAATCAGTTTTTCATCTTACACGTTTTTACAACACTTCTAATTTGTAGCTCAATTTCTAGTTTGAGGAACTGTATCAATGTTATTACATTATGGAAATGGGAATGAGCGTAAAAACAGCATTTGAACAGCGTTAATATGAGACTGCTTTACTCTTTAAACAGGGCGCCAGGAGTGATGTCCACCAACCAGAAGGAAACAGATTCAAGGCCCCAACATCAGCTCCTGGGATGCTGATCTGTAGCTGACCCCTTATACTATGAAACAAGAACCTCTCCACAGCATCTGGCCACGGATATGGACAATCAGACAAACAGGTACACAAACACAAGCAGACAGACATTTGCCATTGCCATTCACACAAACAGGTAGATAGCCTGTCAAGTTGATTCATCAGCAGTTGGTCACAACAGCAAAAAAGAAAACAGAAGAGGGGAGGGGGAGTCTCTATTCTATTTATATCCCAGACGTACAGGTGCTGCAAACAGCATACTACCTCTCTCTCTCCACCCACTGGTTTGTTTGGGCTATAAATACACCTCTGCTGCTGTGGCCATCCACTGAATCAGTCTGTCTGTGTCCATTTATTGATCAACCTGACTGCCTTGCTGCTTGTTTGCCCGTTAGTGTTTCTGTCTGTCTGGCTGTATTTCCATAAAACCTGTCTCTCTTTCTCTCTGTCAAAACAGTGTCTGTGTTTTCTGGATTCTTGACAGACAGGCAGAGCAACAGCTGTAACGGTGCTGCAATGACTCCTGAACCACTCCACAACAATCCAAATAGCACACATTCTTTCCACACCCAATCCCATGTGCATGCAGGCTCTTCACACACAGACACACAGACACACACACACACACAGACACACACACACACACACACATACATCTACTAGGATATTGATATGAGATGGCTGCAGTTTTTTGTTTACTTCTTGGGGTCTGGGCCTTTGTATTCACACAAACACACTCATGGTGCAACTGTGATGCCCCCCGTGCTCTCCTCTAGTTGATAGAAGTTTGTTCTGCTACTAACCTCTAGCTGACAGAAGCCGGTGCTGTTCTTGTTTCTTGCTGCCTTGTTCTTCAGGTAGATGGAGAACCATCTCCGCACTGTGAATTTTCGCGTGCTGGTATCCATGGTAACGGGCAGACCTTTGCATCCTATCCCATAACGATGAACATCTCCCTGCAGGGGGGTCCTTAGGTAGAGATGCAGAAACAGAGAGCTTTTATTGGTTATCTATTTGTCCCGCAGTTTCTCCATTGGCCCATCCTCAATGCAGTCGTCGCTCTTTACTTTCCCCATCATTCGCATTCGCCGCTCGTTTCTCCGGTGGATTTCAGCCTGTCGCTTCCCCCATATCACCACCACCACCACCACCCCCTCCCTGCCGCCGTCTCTCAGCTGCAGTGAACGCCAGTAAGCAAGCAGTCAGAGCTGTAACAGAGCCGTTAATCCGCGCAGACAGACGGGCGCGATGACGGACGGGGCAGGTGCTGCTGGGTTTGGAATTGTCTTGTGTTTTGCAGCAGGCTCGCTGCGTGAGGCTGCACGGGGAGAGGTGACGAATAAATCTGTTCCGCTGAATCAGGAGGTGTGTGTGTGTGTGTGTGTGTGTGTGTGTGTTTGTGTGTGTTCATCCCCTGCTGCCTCTCTCTCTCTCCCTCTGCAGAACAAGGGATTGTCACCAGTCACATTGTGAGCCGGTGAGCTCCCGACACCCCCCACCCCCCCTCTCCCTGTTCCTGCCCCTCACCTCCCTCTTTTTCTCCCACCAGCATACAGCAACAGCTGGCGAGGTCACATGGTGTAACCCAGCTACCTCTGTCTGTCTCCCTCTCCCTCTGTCCCTTCTCTTTTGCTCCTGCATGACATCCAATGACACACACACACACACGCAGATGCAGACAGAATTTTTTGTTTTTTTTTTTTAAATCTGACAAAGCAGCTTGATAATAGCTGGCAAATACTTGTGGCTCAGATTCTGTGACATTACATCAGAATTCAATGAACTACAGAGGACAGCAATCAATGCTACAATCAATGATGATGACAGAAGCAAGCACACCAATCACTGAGAGTACAGTGTGATCTGGTTGATCGCTGGGCATGGGTGGGTGTGTGTGTGTGTGTGTGTAGGTACTTGGATCTGTCACATCAGCAGCTTTGCAGAACTGCAGTGTTACATAACCATAAAGAGAGAGAGGGAGAGGGGGGAGAAGAGAGAGAGAGAGAGGGGTAGAGGAAGTAGAGAGAGGAAAGTGGGAGAGATGGGGGAGATTTTTTTTAGATGAAAGCAGGGGGTAAATCAGGACTGCTGCTCTACCTGGGTCAAGCATCCATGATTGACCTGGGCTTTAAAATATGGTTTCACATTCTTCATCCAGGGTGAAATCACCTCCTATGTTTTAACTGTGATCCTCAGACTTGGAACGTCACTAAAAACAGAGCTCATAGGGCTGTTTGCATGTGTTTTGACAGGATTTGGACCACATTTAGAGTATAGCTGGCACATAGTTTCGAGGCATTTTAGCACTATTGAAAATGTAATCAGATGTGTTTAGTCAATCTGCTGTGCTGTGTTGTGGGAGGAGATTCAGGATTATGGACTGGTGTCTTTGTGCCGGTAGGATTAAGGCTCTGTAAGGGGATCACAACATTAATATTCATACACAGAGTGGGTACAGAAAGACAGACAGAACTGAAATATAATACTGTTACTATACTAAATTACACTACATGCAAGACAGACAGAAGATGCTCGTCAAAACCATCTTCTTACTTCTTTTTCTGTATTTACTCACCAAGCTCTATTTATAAGTTGGATTCACTTTCAATTACATAAATTAAAATACAAAGATACACTTTACCAATATTGCATGTTACATAATGACTCACTGATGACTACAGGGTAGACTGACTAGATATTGAATGTTTTATTGACATTAAGTACAAATGTTCATCTCAGTAATTTAAAACCATAGCATTTGTCCACTGTAGCTGTGATTACAAAAATCATTTTACAAAAAAAACAGTCAAAACCAAACAGCACTGACAGAAAAAAGCCATTGTACAAATCTGTGGGGAGATTAAATAGTGTTTACCAAAACATTTGCTACATCCTGAGCGTGGAACCTATGTGCAACCATGGGTCATAAAGAAAGTGTAGCATTCATTCTAGACCCCATATAATATATTTACTTTCTAGTCTAAAAAGACTATTTTTAGACTAGAAAGCAAATAAAGAAAGTAATATAGTTTTAAGCTAACAAATGTGATAACAGTATCTTTCAGCAACACAGACCTAACCAGGCCAATAGCACAACACTGACTAATGTCTTATGTACTTGGCAAACATCACAGGGTAGCTAATGATAACTACCTCTAGTTTATAATGCCTAAAAGATGTAGATGTTGTTACAAAGCAGCAGTAAGGGTTTAAAAATGATGGTCCTTTCCCTAAAAGCCCTCAAAAATATGTACCTTACCCAATATTAGAACACTTTCTTTTTTGATGCATTGGATTAATTTAGTTATAATGCTGAAAAGCATTTATGTAACAACTAAAATCCAATCAACCCCCGGAAGAAAAAGATGGCAATCAATAGGTGGCACATAAGCACACAAATCTGGTACAAATACAGCCAGCAGAGTCACAACACGTGTACTGCGGTTTGACACCTACACAATCATGAAAAAATGAAGTTTAGAGTCACATGTAGAAACACAAATACCTAGGCCCCAGTCATTTGCCAACACCACCGGAGATGCAATACACAAACTGTCTGTCTACCCGCCTGGCTTTATCTAAACTTTACACGGTGCCTCTTGTTGTGTCCTGGAAAAACATGCTGTGCACTGTTGGTCTCATCTACTAGTACAGCCAGGAAGGGACATAATGCCATTAAAACGCTACGTAGTAGTGGAGTGTGTGTGTCCTGGTTTTTGTAGGATATAAAAAGAACAATGCACTTAAAGGTGATTATTTTCAAGTACTAGTCCCAGCCAGCATTTTCATGAAGTTGGATGTTTTCATTCTACACTGATTGCGTGAGGCTATTTTTGACATACATTATCATTAAAGCTGTGGTCATAGCTTATGTGAAGCCTGAGAAAAATAAAATTATAGTTAGTAGGTGTGTGTGTGTGTGTGCGTGTGTGTGTATCCTAAATTACAGTACAGTTGGCTGGTAAACAAAGAAAGCATTTATTTTCTGTCTTTGTGTAAAAGTGTGTAAATGTATGGTTGTAGTGAGCTGCTGCATTTCAGTTTGCACGTTTGTGTTTCATGAAAGAGGTGGGTAGTAAACTGGCTTATCATGGTCACACACACTGAACCCAGATGCCTTGTCAACGGCCATGAGCTTGTCCCAGTCTCCCTGTTTATCACAGTCCAGGAGGGTGAAGTCAGGGTTGAAACAGATCTCAATCTGCCCCAAGATCTGGGCATCAGCATTCTGTCAAAAACAAACACATACCATTTAACAATCAAACAGACTGTCCCAACATCTGAAACACAGCTATATGTGACACAAAAATGAATATAAATATTTCTGACAAGTAGGACCATGCAAGACACAAACGGCAAATTATAATTTCATTATCTGAATGAGATTACATATTTATACCTTTGATGGGTGGATACATTGGATCTTTGGTTTAACTCCGTAGAAGTTCTCTATGACACCTTCAATTTGTGAAAACTACAGACACATTAGCAACAGAGAGAAGAGTAAAAGTGAGAGACAATAGTTGCAACATTATTATTATGAGGCACTTTAACACCACAGATTAATCGCTACGCAACACTATTATTTGACATTCTAATATACTATAATTTGATGTTTATAATAAAAATAGACCTACTGTGTAGTATTTTTCTGAAGGGATGATGTCAAACTTCCTCAGGATGCTATAATAACAGAGACACAGATTTCCATTTGAGGCTTTGAAGTGTTGATGCTTTTGTCCAAATGACAAAAGAAAATAAGTATAACAGTAGTCACTTTCTGTGAACTACACTGTGGGCAGCAAATATGCCCAGGGTTGACAGGAATAATGGAATATCAAGACAATACTAAGAACTAGAAAATGAGACAGTGGTGTATGGTGTATGTGCACATGTACATGTTCCATACCCATCCATATCCACTTTGTGGTATAGTTCCAGAGCCTTGCTGAAGTATTTATGTTGACTATTCAGAGATGCCGCTCTGGCTGCACATGTACCGTGTTTGTGCCACTCGTACTTCCTATTGAAAGAGACAGACAAACAAGTAGCAATGAGTTTTACTATTATAATGTGCAAATGTATTATAATGTACAAATTAAATATCTCTACTGGTCTATAAAACATAGGAATGAAAGAATGAATAGTTGACACATATCAGCTCATAGTGTGAAACGGTTTAGAATCTATGTCTCTTGCTCCTGACATCTATGAATGTAATCATGTAGATAAAGTTAGATAAAGTTAGCTAAAATTAAAGTTTTAAAAGTCTCATAGTCTAGTCCCATCTTTAGAGAGTAAACATATCTGTAAAATATACTGTATCCTTCTACTACTACAATCAGCACTATTATAAATACAATACCAGAAGCCAGTAGAGGTGGGGTGAAGCAAGTCAGGCCAACTTTTCTCCATGTCAGGAAGCAGGTCCTGAAAACAAAAACACAACAAAACACACAAATGCATGTTGTGCAATGCCTGTTTTCTTTCTTCTTGATAAATTAAACTACAGATCGAGAGTTTTAACAATTACAGTAAGAAGATAAAAGACATTTTTGAATTCTACACTTAATTATAAAGACTCACTCAGCCTGACTAGTATTATACCTCTATTTGAGAAGCGTTGAAATGCCATGAAGAGTTGCAATCAATCCCTTTATCTGGCCTGGAAAACAAATTTACAATATTAGACATCACTGCAGCAATGAACAATGAAAGCAACAATGACTGATTCAAATGCTGTTCTGCCATGTGTTGCATTTCTTCCCATTTTAATGTACAACTAGGTGCACTCAGTTTCCTAATTAGGTTAGTGTAATATATCTCTTTCATCTATTTTATTCTTATACCACACATGTTTAACATTTTGTAATAACAAAAGTACATACATTTACTTGTAACCACTTTTCTTAAGTGGTAATACCTATCAGGTAGTTGTAACAAGTAACATTTACCATGCTGAAAAAAGGCAACCACACCCTTATCTGATTAAAACACACACACACACACACACACACACACACACACAGTGTTTAGTCAATCTGCTGTGCTGTGTTGTGGAGGAGATTCAGGATTATTGGACTGGTGTCTTTGTGCCGGTAGGATTAAGGCTCTGTAAGGGGATCACAACATTAAATATTCATACACAGGGTGGTACAAGACAGACAGAGACGAATGAAATATAATACTGTTACTATAACTAAATTACACTACATGACGAAGACGACGAAGATGCTCGTCAAAACATCTTCTTACTTCTTTTTCTGTATTTACTCACCAAGCTCTATTTATAAGTTGGATACTTCAATTACATAAATTAAAATACAAAGATACACTTTACCATTGCATGTTAACATAATTGACTCACTGATGACTACAGGGTAGACTGACTAGATATTGAATGTTTTATTGACATTAAGTACAAATGTTCATCTCAGTAATTTAAAAACCATAGCATTTGTCCACTGTAGCTGTGATTACAAATCAATTTACAAAAAAAACAGTCAAAACCAAAACACAGCACTGACAGAAAAAAGCCATTGTAACATCTGTGGGAGATTAAATAGGTTTACCAAATACATTTGCTACACCTGAGCGTGAACCTTTGTGCACACCATGGGTCATAAAGAAAGTGTAGCATTCATTCTAGACCCCATATAATATTTACTTTCTAGTCTAAAAAGACTATTTTTAGACTAGAAAGCAAATAAAGAAAGTATATATAGTTTAGCTAACAAATGTGATAACAGTTATCTTTCAGCAACAGACAGACCTAACCAGCCAATAGCCACACACTGACTAATGTCTTATGTACGGCAAACAGTGAGGTCTAATGATAACTATCTAGTTTATAATGCCTAAAAGATGTAGATGTTGTTACAAAGCAGCAGTAAGGGTTTAAAAAATGAGTGTCCTTTTCCCTAAAAGCCCTCAAAAATATGTACCTACCCAATATTATAGAACACTTTCTTTTTTGATGCATTGGATTAATTTAGTTATAATGCTGAAAGCATTTATGTAACAACTAAAATCCAATCAACCCCCGAGAAGAAAAACAGAGCATCAATAGGTGGCACATAAGCACACAAATCTGGTACAAATACAGCCAGCAGAGTCACAACACGTGTACTGCGGTTTGACACCTACACAATCATGAAGATGAAGTTTAGAGTCACATGTAGAAACACAAATACCTAGCCCCAGTCATTTGCCAACACACACGGGAGCACAATACACAAACTGTCTGTCTACCCGCCTGGCTTTATCTAACTTTACACGGTGCTCTTGTTGTGTTCCTGGAAAAACATGCTGTGCCCTGTTGGTCTCATCTACTAGTACAGCCAGGAAGGGACATAATGCCATTAAAACGCTACGTGTAGTGAGTTGTGTGTGTCCTGGTTTTTGTAGGCATATAAAAAGAACAATGCACTTAAGGTGATATTTTCAAGTACTAGTCCCAGCCAGCATTTTCATGAAGTTGGATGTTTTCATTCTACACTGATTGCGTGAGGCATATTTTTGACATACATTATCATTAAAGCTGTGGTCATAGCTTATGTGAAGCCTGAGAAAATAAAATTATAGTTAGTAGGTGTGTGTGTGTGTGTGCGTGTGTGTGTAAAATTACAGTACAGTTGGCTGGTAAACAAAGAAAGCATTTTTTCTGTCTTTGTGTAAAAGTGTGTAAATGTATGGTTGTAGTGAGCTGCTGCATTTCAGTTTGCACGTTTTGTGTTTCATGAAAGAGGTGGGTAGTAACTGGCTTATCATGGTCACACACACTGACCACAGCTCTTGTCACCGGCCATGAGCTTGTCCCAGTCTCCCTGTTTATCGTCAGTCAGGGGGTGAAGTCAGGGTTGAAACAGATCTCAATCTGCCCCAAGATCTGGGCATCAGCATTCTGTCAAAAACAAACACATACCATTTAACAATCAAACAGACGTCCCAACATCTGAAACACAGCTATATGTGAACAAAAATGAATATAAATATTTCTGACAAGTAGACCATGCAAGACCAAACGGCAAATTATAATTTCATTATCGAATGAGATTACATATTTATACCTTTGATGGGTGGATAACTTGGATCTTTGGTTTAACTCCGTAGAAGTTCTCTATACACCTTCAATTTGTGAAAACTACAGACACATTAGCAACAGAGAGAAGAGTAAAAGTGAGAGACAATGTTGCAACATTATTATTATGAGGCACTTTAACACCACAGATTAATCGCTACGCAACACTATTATTTACATTCTATATATACTATAATTGATGTTTATAATAAAATAGACCTACTGTGTAGTATTTTTCTGAAGGGATGATGTCAAACTTCCTCAGGATGCTATAATAAAAGAACACAGATTTCCATTTGAGGCTTTGAAGTGTTGATGCTTTTGTCAATGACAAAAGAAAATAAGTATAACAGTAGTCACTTTCTGTGAACTACACTGTGGGCAGCAAATATTGCCCAGGTTACAAATAATGGAATATCAAGACAATACTAAGAACTAGAAAATGAGACAGTGGTGTATGGTGTATGTGCACATGTACATGTTCCATACCCATCCATATCCACTTTGTGGTATAGTTCCAGAGCCTTGCTGAAGTATTTTATGTTGACTATTCAGAGATGCCGCTCTGGCTGCACATGTACCGTGTTTGTGCCACTCGTTACTTCCTATTGAAAGAGACAGACAAACAAGTAGCAATGAGTTTTACTATTATAATGTGCAAATGTATTATAATGTACAAATTAAATATCTCTACTGGTCTATAAAACATAGGAATGAAAGAATGAATAGTTGACACATATCAGCTCATAGTGTGAACGGTTTAGAATCTATGTCTCTTGCTCCTGACATCTATGAATGTAATCATGTAGATAAAGTTAGATAAAGTTAGCTAAAATTAAAGTTTTAAAAGTCTCATAGTCTAGTCCATCTTTAGAGAGTAAACATATCTGTAAAATATACTGTATCCTTCTACTACTACAATCAGCACTATTATAAATACAATACCAGAAGCCAGTAGAGGTGGGGTGAAGCAAGTCAGGCCAACTTTTCTCCATGTCAGGAAGCAGGTCCTGAAAACAAAACACAACAAAACACACAAATGCATGTTGTGCAATGCCTGTTTTCTTTCTTCTTGATAAATTAAACTACAGATCGAGAGTTTTAACAATTACAGTAAGAAGATAAAAGACATTTTTGAATTCTACACTTAATATTAAAGACTCACTCAGCCTGACTAGTATTATACCTCTATTTGAGAAGCGTTGAAATGCCATGAAGAGTTGCAATCAATCCTTTATCTGGCCTGGAAAAAAAAATTT